AAGCAACCTAGAACTAAGGAGAAATTTCCTGACAGTGAGAACAATTAACCAGTGGAACAACCTGCCTCCAGAAGCGGTGAATGCTCCAACACTGGAAGTTTTTAAGAAGAGACTGGACAGCCATTTGTCCGAAATGGTATAGGGTTTCCTGCCTGAGCAGGGGGTTGGACTAGATGACCTCCAAGGTCCCTTCCAACTTATTATACCGCTTCTGGAGGCAGGTTGTTCCACAGAACAGAACAGAACGGAACAGAACAGAATAGAATAGAGCTAGAAGGGACTTTGGAGGTCTTCTAGTCCAGCCCGCTGCTCAAGCAGGAGAACCTATACTACTTCAGACAATCATTGCAGCATCCTCACGGTCATGTGATCCAATATGAAATGTTTGGCAACTGGCATGTATGTAATGAGGGTTGCAGTGTCCGGCGGTCATGTGATCACATTTGGTGACTTTCCCACGAGCAAAGTCAATGGGGAAGCCAGATTCACTTAACAACCGTGTTACTAACATAACAACTGCAGTGATTCACAACCAACCTAACGAGGGGAAAACTCACTTAACAATTGTCTAATCAGATAGTGCTGGATGCTCATCTTTCGGCTTTGTCTTTTATTTTTGTTGATTAAAAAAAAATGTACAGTATGTTGAAAAAACCCAAATGACTTGCTTAGCAATAGAAACTTTAGGCTCAATTGTGGTCATACTTCGAGGACTGCCTGTATATGTTTTGTGATGTGAAGAGTTTGCTCTAGTTTACTGAGATTTCTGTCCACAGGTGAGAAACAATAAAGGAATCGGTTTAGAAGAATCTCAGTGTGTGTTTTGTTTTATTTTTTGGAGCCTGACACTCAGGAACCAACCATTTTTAGCAGCATGCTGACCTAGCCATTGAGTCAGTTTAAGCAAATTCTATAGCACAGGGTTCTTCAAACTTGACAACGTTAAGACTGGTGGACTTTAACTCCCAGAATTCCTCAGCCAGCATGGCTGGCTGAGGAATTCTGAGAGCTGAAGTCCACCAATCTTTTTTTTTTCCCCTTCTGGGTCTAATGGAAAAAGACTTTAAAAAAAAATTGGAACTCTGATTTTATATATGGTGACGGCAGCAAGACTGCTCTATGCATAAAAATGGAATAATCTTTTGATTCCCACCGTGGACAAATGGCTACAAAAGCTGATGGAATTAGCAGAGATGGCTAAATTGACTGTTTTGATTTAAAAAAAAAAAAAAGAATATAAGTCCTTTTGTTTCTACTTGGAAACCGCTTCTGGACTTTGTGCTTGAGGTGGAAAAAAATGATACTATGATTTTGGGTTTTACTGATTAGACTGATTTGTTGATATAGAAATGGTTAGTTCAGACTACTTTGTTGTTAGTTGCAAAGTCATGTCCGACCCATCGCGACCCCATGGACAGCATTCCTCCAGGCCTTCCTGTCCTCTACCATCTTCTGGAGTCCATTTCAGCTCCCGCCTACTGCTTCAGTGACTCCATCCAGCCACCTCCTTCTCTGTTGTCCCCTTCTTCTCTTGCCCTCCATCTTTCCCAGCATCAGGCTCTTCTCCAGTGAGTCCTTCCTTCTCATTAGGTGGTCAAAGTACTTGAGTTTCAACTTCAGGATCTGACCTTCTAAAGAGCAGTCAGGGTTGATCTCCTCTAGGACTGACCGGTTGGATCGCCTTGCAGTCCAGGGGACTCGCAGGAGTCTTCTCCAGCACCAGAGTTCAAAGGCCTCCATTCTTTGGCGCTCAGCCTTTCTTATGGTCCAGCTTTCACAGCCATACATTGCAACTGGGAAAACCATGGCCTTGACTATACGCACTTTTGTTGACAGGGTGATGTCATACTACTATAGAAATGTAAAAATGAGATCTGATCTTAATGTCTTATTTGTCCCTTACTTATTTGCTTCTGTATTTTCATATTTTATGTTATAAATGAATACAATTATATATATATAAAAGAAGTCCACCAGTCTTAACAAGGATTTGTGTCAGTCTTACCCACATGCAGGCTTCCAGCCTGACTTTGGACATGATGGTCCATAACGAAATGGATCCTTCCACTCCCTCTTTGTTGGGACAGATAATCTGGTCCGGGTAAGGCGGTTCGGGAAAATTCACCGAGTTACATTCGTAAGCAGCGAGTGTCACTGACGCTATATGTGGGCCCTGCAGAGGGGAAGAAGAGGGCAGGGGAGGCAGAATTCAGCCATCGGTGGCAATCCATTTCATTTGCAATAAATAAACAATAAAGGAAAATATTTGTAGCTCAGAGTTGAAATGAGGGGTCCTTGGTGCTCTCTGAGCTTGCTTGTTGTCTTGAGACGTTTCATTACCCAGCTAGGTAACATCCTCAGTAGACATTAACAATATCCATAGACTATGCAAAAGAGACAATCAACTAGCCAAGAAGAGAACAAAAAGACGCAAGCGCTTCTCCCCCAACAATCAGCACCCAGATCAGAATAGATTTACTCCAAGATCAACATCAGACCAACAATCAAGTAAACAACACCCCAATCAAGAAACTGCCAAAGAAGCCAACAGTAAATACCCCATCCAAAGAATCTCTAAGACAATCCACACCAAAATGGACAGGGCAAGACACCAGAATATAAAACATGAAGTACTAATACCACTGTATAAAGGCTTAGTAAGAACACCTACAATACTGTTTGATCTCCAGATTTGTTGAAATCCAGTTTTGATCTCCACATCCAATATCTCAGGGGCTTCCCCAAAGAAGAGGGAGTGAAGCTACTCTCCAAAGTGCCCCAAGGCAGGACAAGAAGCAACAGATGGAAACTAATCAAGGAGAGAAGCAACCTAGAACTAAGGAGAAACTTCCTGACAGTTAGAACAATTAACCAGTGGAACAACCTGCCTCCAGAAGCTGTGAATGCTCCAACACTGGAAGTTTTTAAAAAGAGACTGGACAGCCATTTGTCCGAAATGGTATAGGGTTTCCTGCCTGAGCAGGGGGTTGAACTAGATGACCTCCAAGGTCCCTTCCAACTTTACTACTACTACTACTACTACTACTACTACTACTACTACTACTACTACTACTACTACTACTACTACTACTACAAAAGATGTTGAGACTCTAAAACAGGTGTGTCAATCTGCCAACCCGTGGGCCAGATGCATCATAGCAAAACCGCGCCCACCCTATTGCCGGCAATGGAAAAAAAGTCACGATACATCGTGACACGTCACGTGATGTTGCGAATTTGACACCCTTGCTCTAGAAAGAGTGCAGAGAAGAGCAACAAAGATGATTAGGGGACTGGAGGCTAAAACATACGAAGAACAGTTACAGGAACTGGGCATGGCTAGTCTAGTGAAGAGAAGGACCAGGGATGACATGATAGCAGTGTCCCAATATACTTGAGGGGCTGTCACAGAGAGGAGGGGGGTCAACCTATTTTCCAAAGCACCTGAAGGCCAGACAAGGAATAACGGATGGAAACTGATCAAGGAGAGATTCAACCTAGAAATAAGGAGGAATTTTCTGACAGTGAGAACAATCAACCAAGGGAACAGACTGCCTTCAGAAGTTGTGGGAGCTTCATCACTGGAAGCTTTCAAGAAGAGATTGGACTGCCTTCTGTCAGACATGGTGTAGGGTCTCCTGTTTGGGCAGGGAGTTGGACTAGATGAACTACACGGTCCCTTCCAACTCTGTTATTCTAATTCTAAACTGAGAGTAATAATAATAATAAAGTTGGAAGGGACCTTGGAGGTCATCTAGTCCACCCCCTGCTCAGGCAGGAAACCTTATACCATCTTGGACAAATGGCTGTCCAGTCTCTTCTTAAAAACTTCCAGTGTTGGAGCATTCACCACTTCTGGAGGCAGGTTGTTCCACTGGTTAATTGTTCTCACTGTCAGGAAGTTTCTCCTTAGTTCTAGGTTGCTTCTCTCCTTGATGAGTTTCCATCCGTTGCTTCTTGTCCTGCCTTCAGGCGCTTTGGAGAATAGCTTGACTCCCTCTTCTTTGTGGCAGCCCCTGAAATACTGGAACACTGCTCTCGTGTCCCCCCTCGTCCTTCTCTTCATTAAACTAGACGTACCCAATTCCATCAACCTTTCCTTATATGTTTCAGCCTCCGGTCCCCTGATCATCTTTGTTGCTCTTCTCTGCACTCTTTCTAGAGTCTCAACATCTTTTTTATACCGTGGTGACCAAAACTGGATGCAGTAAACCCCACTCCCTTCTAGCACTGATGATGTTACCTAGTTTGGGTAATGAAACGTCTGCAAGGAAACCAGCAAGCTCAGAGGGCACCAAGGACTCCTAATAAACAAAGTTCCCGTTATAACCCCATGGCCTAACCTAGAGTGCCCTCGGCGTTGGACTCCAGTTCCCATCATACTCCCAAAACAATTCGCTGGAGTCCAGCCACAGTACAAAAGCCATGTCGTCTCCTTCCATTAATTACAAGGCAGAATTGTGCTAAGGTCTCTGGAGAGCTATTTTTCAGAAGGTTCTCTTTTTTTTTCCCTCCTCCCCACCTCTGCCCCCCATGACTCAGAGGTTATACTGGCAGCACTGGGGAGGCCCTGGCCAGTGGCCAAAGCTACCTTCCTTCCTAACGAAAAGCTGGGGAGATAAAGGAGGAGGAGGAAGAATAAAATGCAATAAAAGCAAACAAAGCCAACGAGAAAGTGTGACTCAATGACTCACTCTTCTATCCCTACCTTACATGAGTATTTTATTTTGGCTTGGCCAGTTTCAGCCGGGGATGATGACTCCCAAATGCCTGTCCAACAGTCACCCATGAGGTCATCACAACGTTGGGGGCAAGCCTGGGACAAATTATTTGTTCTCTAACTGAATATCCTAGATTTTGACTTACAGCAAAGGTCGAGTGTGTGTGTGTGTGTGTGTGAGAGAGAGAGGGGGGGGGAGGTCCTTCCAATGACTTGCTTCCTGATTTTATGGCAAGAAAGGTTGTAAAACGGGGCAAAACTCACTTAACAATTGTGTTGCTTAGCAACAGAAATGTTGCCCTCAATTGAGGTCGTAAGTCGAGCACTGGCTGTATTTTCTCCAATAACACAAATAACCAGTGGAACGACTTGCCTCCAGAGGTTGTGGGTGCTCCAATATGGGGTGAGGTGGGGTGGGGTGGGTTGATTAAGAAGAGAGTGGACAACTATTTGTCTGAAATGGTATAGGGCAGGGGTAGGCAACTTTGGCTCTTTTATGACTCGTGGACTTCAACTCCCAGAATTCCTGAGGCAGCATGGGGGAACTATGGCTCCCTTCATGACTCGTGGACTTCAACTCCCAGAATTCCTGAGCCAGCATGGCCGGCTCAGGAATTCTGGGAGTTGAAGTCCACGAGTCATAAAAGAGCCAAGGTTGCCTACCCCTGGTACAGGGTTTGCTGCTTGAGCAGGGGGCTGGACTAGAAGACCTCCAAGGTCCCTCCCAACTGTGTTACTCTGTTGTTCTACTATTCTGACTGGCCCAGCCGTGGATGCCCAGCACCTGAGCAATTATGGGGAGTTGGCGGGTATTTTAAAAAAGAGAAATTGTGTTGAAGTTGTGAATGCTCTAACACTAGAATTTTTTTAAGAAGAGATTGGACCACCATTTGTCTGAAACAGTATAGATGTCCTGGTTCCGGTAGATGAGACCAATTAAAAGAACTTTGAGGCAAGGATTTCTTCCTTAAAGAACATGTTTCTTTGGCTACAAAACAACGGCACGTACAAAGGTGAACCCAAGACTAAATTCCCCTCCCCTTGGTTACAAAGTTACCAGTTGCAATTCCCACCCCAATTTAGTTGTCATAAAATCAAGTTCACCAATTATGCTAAAACGCCGGCTCTCCTCCCAGTTCTCCAGCCCGCCAAAATGTTATCAGCACTGACCTTAGTTCCCATACATTTGAATTGTTTGGCCTAACTGAAAACTACACACACACCCTCCCTTCTCCTAAACTAAATATGTGGCAAGGAAGACGAAGTGAAAATGGCTGCAGTTCAGTTTGTCGCAACGCTGACAATAAAGTTTCCTGCTTGAGCAAGAGGCTGGACTAGAAGACCTCCATGGTCCCTTCCAACTCAGTTATTCTGTTAACTGGGCAGGCCCAGATTGGATGAAGATGTTCTGATGGAGACCAGCTCCTACTTCACTCAGTCACTCCCTTCAAGTCTCTACAGGAGACGTTAATAATAATAATAATAATAATAATAATAATAATAATAATAATAATAATAATAATAATAATAGGAACTGCTTCCATCCTGCGACGATATCTGTAATACCATCAAACATCCACATCTGCCTATCCCAGATCCTGGGTAAGGACTCGATAGGTAGACAAAATGCCAAATCCAGTCTGAACATCTGGCTGACTGTGCGATGATCCATAATAATAATAATAATAATAATAATAATAATAATAATAATAATAATAATAATAATA